GAATCTCTAAAGAATTATGTTGAGCAGAATATAATTGTTTTTAAACAGAATGGAACCTTGAAACTGTGGTAACAAAATCTAGACTTTTGTTGGCTACATTTTACGTTACTACTTCTTCGTTAATTAGTGTTATGGGACCAAGAGCTCTTTTCTTCGCATTGGAAATTTAAAGTACCACAGGGTACGAAAAACTCACTGGGGACGATTTATCTTTAAGGTACGAAACGAGAACAAAATTGGTCAAAACAGGTAATATTGTTTAAGGTACGAAACGAGAAGGTACGAAAGGAGAATATACGAAAGATTAAAGTAGTAGAATAGCATAAAAGAACTTACCGACAGTCTATCTTTTGCGTGAATATATCTAAACCTTTGCACGTAGTAAAACACTAGCCATGCTAAGGAAATTATCATTAATACTATGAATGTAATGGACACGAACAAAACCGATGTCCTGCAAGAAAAAAAAACAACAAAATGTAAGTGATTCAAATTAAAGTTAATGCGACATTAGTTTGATTGTTAATTTGTGTTATTTTAATAAACCACAAATTAACTGTAACCATGCCGAGTTTGATGGAATATATTGTATTAATTGTATGACATAAATGTTACAATAAACTAACGAAACGTTACAGAATTGATAAATTGACATTTTGCAATTTATTAGTCTTTATATTGGTAATTTGTGGTTTAATATGCCATTGTTTCAATGAATTCTCTAACTTTTATGTGCACAAATTCGTTAAAATTTGCAAAACGCTACTATGTTTTAAACTAATATTACTAATGACATTAGTATGTATGGTCCTTGCATAATACCTTGGCGGTAATTATTTAGGAACATTAATGCTCGTTATAAATTATAAGAACGAATAGCAAATGGACCTTTTTCTGGTAGTAACGCGAGATACAAGACCAAACATCTTGGCAACAAAAACGATACAATTTGAACATTAGTAATATCATTCTATCTGTTTAGTTTATTGTCTCTCATTACCTTCTTTTGATAATGTTGTCGGCGATAGAAACTCATAATGCAAATTCTATATTAATACATTTAAACACATCATTACTATTTCTTAAGAAACTTCACAGTCGTTTAAAATAGATATCCGAAACACTAGAAGAGGAATTAGTGTAAGCAAATACTTAATGATATTATTATAGATATAATGGCTCCAGTCTAGCGTTAGTCTGGAATATATCTACACTGTTCTATATAGCTGATAAAAGACGCGAAGGTCAATTATTTCGTTTACAATTTGAACATTTTCAATAGGAAAGATTTGTAGGTAATTGTTTATAATATTTGGTGTCTTATTTTCATTATGCGCATACACACTTTATAAATTCGTCTGAAATATTGAATATTGAATATTGAAGATTGTCTTGTCACAATGAAGTTGACTCAACTGACGAAATTACGTTTTTTTGTGGAAATTCCTTGGAATTTTTAAGAAAATTAATCAAATTTTGTAATAACATATTATACTTAAATCATTTATTAATTTTTAAAGCATCAAACTAATGTTTAACTGATAAAAAGAAGAAAACCTTGAAGGAATACCTTTATTTAAACCAATTATTCTTATTAGTTACTTTCCTCATTTTTCCAGAAAACCCCGAAGCATTTGTAGTTATTAAGGATAATATACATCTATGAATAAGTATTTCCACTACTAAAATTAATCGAATAAAAACTTTGTAATTTCGTCCATTTTTTTAATGAAACGTTAAATGATTAGAATACCAAATTTCGGTATTCCAAATTGGGAAAAATTAAGAAAATTAAATTTTCCATACATCTTTTCACAAGTTTACGACGACAAAAATATGAAAATAAATGTGGCAGGAACAAAGCAGGCACTTACTGATAATATGAGTTATTGAACTTTAATATCTTTTGAAATAAGTGATTAAATGTATTTATATTTTTTTCGTAAATTTCACTGCATTTTAATAAAGGGAAGGACATTTTTATTTCCAAATAGTATCCTTAACAACTAGAAATGCCCAAATAATTTCTGCCATGTCACAATTACCTTATTTAGTATTATATACTTGGCTTTAAAACAGTACCTGCGCTGAATTTTGAAACAGAGTCTTGAGAATTTAGTAATTTTGATTGTATATTATGTTAAAACTAAACATAAATAGTCAACTTGTAACTGAAAATGAAAACAACATAAATATGCAGAGAACCAAAATCAACCACATATTTTCAAAGTACGTTTTCTCCATTATAAAAAAAGCATAAATTTAATGTATTTTAAGCAGTTGGGTCAATTTCACTGAGTTAGAGCTCATAGATCATATATCCTAAATTTTCCCAGAAAACTGACATCGAATTATAAATATTTGTAAATCGCTTAATAAATCTTTGCAATTCCAGTAAAAATTGTGATGTGAAATATGTGTTCCCAATAACCCAATGAGTTACTCAAGATTAAATAACATACCTGTTAATAGTTGCATTTCTAACTGTACTCCTACTAGCTACGGTAATATGGACTAATACTTCGGAATCGTTTTCCAAAAGTTTCGCCAGTTGTTCGCCTTTTAGTTTGTAAGTGAATATTGCACTAATATTTCCTGAAACAAAATATACACCTACATTTAATTTACATAGAAAAGTAACAGAAGATTTTAAAAAAAAGTAGATGCTATAACGGAAAGAAAACTGATTCGCCTACTCATAATTTTGAAGATCTAAATTAACATTATTTTTCAATTTGAATGTCTTTTTATTAATATTAATATCTATTTGTAATTAGATATCTACTTTTTACACTATTTTCTGCTTTGAAAATAGCAAATGCAAATCACAATATAATTTGAATATTTGTTGAAATATTGTTGGAAAAAAAATTGCCTTGACAGTATAATTTTCTACCTTCATTAGTTACATTGTCATAAAAACAAATTCTTTATATTTTTTTGGAATAACATTTTTCTTTGCTTCGAGAAATTTTGAATCTCTAAAGAATTATGTTGAGCAGAATATAATTGTTTTTAAACAGAATGGAACCTTGAAACTGTGGTAACAAAATCTAGACTTTTGTTGGCTACATTTTACGTTACTACTTCTTCGTTAATTAGTGTTATGGGACCAAGAGCTCTTTTCTTCGCATTGGAAATTTAAAGTACCACAGGGTACGAAAAACTCACTGGGGACGATTTATCTTTAAGGTACGAAACGAGAACAAAATTGGTCAAAACAGGTAATATTGTTTAAGGTACGAAACGAGAAGGTACGAAAGGAGAATATACGAAAGATTAAAGTAGTAGAATAGCATAAAAGAACTTACCGACAGTCTATCTTTTGCGTGAATATATCTAAACCTTTGCACGTAGTAAAACTTAAGCTTAACAACTATCCCCAAGGTAGCAGTACTAACCAGAGGTTACATATAGTTTAAATTTAGATGAAGTTAAGGCAGGGAAAAGTCCTTTCTAGGTTAACAAAAATGTTTGGCGTTAAGAATTTTTTTTTGAACAGTTTAAAGAAAGGCTTTTTTAATAATTTTTTTTGTAATTATCAAGTTGGAGTATAACAAGTGTTGCAATTTTAATTTTAACTAGAGCTTACGCTTAATTGAAAATTAACAGGAAAAAGATATTATCTTAGAAAATCAATATCAAAATGTGAAGAGCAAATTACGAGCTATTTTTATTGAGAAATCTTGTTTTAGCTCTTTGAGGAACTATTACTTTCGGTTAAATAACTTCTTAATAGTTTTTCTTCTTATGCAGCAACAAAATAAGTTTTGGAAAGGCATTTTTATAAAGACTTACCTAAAATTATCTGGATTAAAAAAAATCACGGTGACTAATATCAAATCAAAGTTCCCTTGTATCAAAATTCTCTCGCTGATATAGACGATTGCGGAGTAATCAATTATTTTTTTTTGTTGTCAGACTTGTCGGTACTCATTATACGTAATCATATTTCATGTGTTGGAGCGCGTGTAACTAAGCTGTTTTTAAGTTCCACGTGAACCGAATTACTTTTTAGCAATAGACGTACTTGTAGAATAATTTCTTTTAGTAAGTACAAACATATTCGACATCATCATATTCTGGAATGCAATACGAACGTATATATAACTGATTTCCTGAAAATAGTTTTAAAGAAATTCACATTTGGGCCGAGAATTCGATTTGACTTCAAAAGTTTGATTTTCTATTAGTTTTTCTATTACAGGGACGATTTTTACTGAGCCAAAGATTCAATTTAAAATAGTCCCATTTTTAGGGAAAATCGCTTTCATTCGCCAACTTTTAATAGATAATTTGCTAGCGATCAATACTAAAATATGCCAACCAAAATACACCCTTTAATGCGTACACCACCCTAGCGAAGTTCGATTAATCTGATATTATTCAGTTAAAAAGACAAAACAGATCACGTTTGAAATTAAACGTAATTTATTTATTAGCATGGGCTATAAAAACGAGTAGCTGGTATTTTGTGGAAACCTACACGAACTGCCGTCATTGTGTCATTGCGTGATTTACGAGAGATTACCGAAATACGTCACATTGCATGAATAAATGTCTTTTTTATTTACCTTCGTCGATTATTTAAAATGTTTCGTTCTGTGTGATTTGTTCGTAACAAAGGAACATCGTAAAAAACGTTAATGGAAACAAAGCCTACCATTATTACGTTGTTATCATTTATTGCACACTGTATAGTAGTAATGCTAGAATCGACGATTTACAATTTATTACTCAAAATTCAATTCATGTTAGCTTCATGATTGTAATCAATTATCACTTACTATCACTGCAGATGGCGTTTACAGCGCCATTTGTCGTATTTTCTAAAACGCGCTGTTAAAGCAGCAGGTAAAAGTTGGTCTGTGTTCTGTCGGAGCTGCCTGCGACGCGCTGATGAGATCCAAAAAGATCGAAATCGCGATCCGCGTTTGGCAGTTTCTTCGACAGAATACAGACCACTTCGGATTATTTTATTCAATTATCACATATGATAGAAATGTTGAAATCCCTAAAACTTGTGTTTTGCCTAGGCCAAATTGGTTTATCGTGTATTTGTTACCGACGTAAAACAACTTTAGGATAAACTAGTTACTCTAGGATAAAGTAGAATCCTGAAGGAGGAATTGGTTGGCTACATATGTGTACATGTTACAACAAATATAGTTAAACTTTGTTTGAAAGTTTGAAAGTCTAAGTGTATTTCTAAATATAAATAAAGCTTTTCTGCCATACTCCTACCGAAAATACGATGTTTTTCCCGATATTTACAAGAAATTATTCTGCGATAATATACATATGATGTGGGGATATGCTTCTAACACAACTCGTTAATTAATTGGGGTGATAGGGGTGAGTTCTTTTAGTCTGAATTCTTTCAGAGTTATTTAAAAATGATATTGTCTTGGCTGCTTTTTCCATTAAGCTCTTTCTAATAACTTTAACGTTTTAATGAAATAGTGCAGCAGGTTGTAAAACTAGGATCGTATAATTTTTATTAGTTTACTTACTGACAAGGCAACATTCGTAACACTTCTGATATTTTATATGGCTCTATGCATATTGCGCAACATTCGCCATCTTGCACTTCCTGTAAAAAAAATAACAACAAATACTTATTAAGGAACATGTTGTTGTAAAAAATAATCTCTTCTAAAAGAGTTGTTAATGTTGTTTTAACACATCCCCGAACACTTTTATATGAATTTTTAAAGTTTCAACCAACACAAATTAAAAAACAAATTTTCCTGTTTATCTAACGCGATCGATCGAAATTCTAAAGTTTTTCATATTACACTTCTTTGTCCACTTGCTTTTCAAAATTACTGCANCCATTATAAAATCAGTATGTTCGTATCGCGATTATAGTAATTGAAATGTATTAATCGTTACATTATATTTATATTTATTTCGCGACTGATATAAAAAAAATAAATTAACTGAAGCTCAAGTCTAATTCAAATTGGTTGCATTTTTGATTAATATTCGTCATCATTTAGAATACGATGCGAACGTGTTTTACGTCATCAAGCCATGAACACAACCGATTTAAGTTAAACAAAAGATAAAATTAGCGAGCTGTAGTCCATTTACGTACAAATATAGCAACTTATTATTTTTTATTTGTAATCTGTGAAAAAGTTGGACGTATGTGTAGATTATATGTCGTAAATGTACTTCAGCTGATTGTTAGTAACAAATTGAATGTTTAAAACATCAAAAACCATTTGTTAAACCCCCTGAAAAGCAAAACTTAATAAAACTACAAACGATTTACCTCCACCATGCTAAGTGCAAAATAGTAGCTACTTTGAAATTGGGAAGAGCTTAGGTGCAAAGGTATCACAGATAATCTAAAAGGCTAAAATATTGTTACGTCTTGTTGATTATAGTGAAACACTGACCACGAATCCATAGTGCTTCAAAATATCCATTTTACACATCGGACACGTTCGATGCTCCAATAACCATGGATCTATGCAACTTTTATGGAATTCGTGTCTGGGAAGAAAAACAAATAATTTTGCTGTTAAGAATTTACAAAATGAAAATAAATGAAAGTAAAACAAAAATACTGGTATGCAAGGGAAGGAAAAGTAGGGAAAGAGCGAATATAAAGATAGGAGACGAAAAATTAGAAGAAGTGGCCGTTTTTAGGTATCTAGGAAGTCAGATAAGTCAAGACCGAAGAAGTAGTAGGGATATAAAGCAGAGGATAGTGCAGGGTCGAGTTGCCTTCAATAAAAAGATGTCACTTCTATGTTCGCGAACGGTTAATATAGAAATTCGAAAAAGGTTGTTAAAAGTGTATGTTTGGAGCACGACGCTGTATGGGTGCGAAACATGGACAGTGGGCGCGGCGGAAAAGAGAAGGTTAGAAGCGTTCGAAATGTGGTGTTATTGGCGAATGATGAGGATATCGTGGATAGAGAGAGAAGGTTAGAAATGAAGAGGTATTAGAAAGAATAGGAAAACAGAGGACCCTATGGAAGTCAATACAAATAGGCCAGAAAGGTTGGTAGGACACTTTCTCAGGCATGAAGGTCTAGTCAAAGACATATTAGAGGCAGAAACAGGAGTTAGGAGGGCTAGAGGTAGAGCTAGATTAGATTAGTGTTCGCAAATAGTTAAGGATGTGGGCTGTTCTAGTTTTAGGGAAATGCGAAGTTTAGCTCAGGATAGGAAAGAGTGGAGGTTCGTGTCCAACCAGTCTTAGGACTGACGACCTTAAGATGATGATGGATCTATGACTGATAAAATGAATATCTGGACGATCCTTCAGTGGCGTCTTGAAGTGCATATTATATATATTATGACATGACTTGCCAGAGCTGGACTGCCCTTTACTTATACTTTCAAATACGGTTTTTTTTTTTCGAAAACTGAACTTTCGGATGTACAAATATTTAATTTTCTTATTTTATAGTACCCTTCTGCAAGGTTGCCATTTCTTTCAGAAACGCTCTGTATAATACATATATATATATTGAGGCAAATAAATGGATGATTCTTAGAATGCAAATTCATTCATAGATAATGATAAAACCACAAATGGTCGAATTGTAATGATCAAGTTCACCGTAAATATGTGTATTTGGTCCGTTATTTGC